CTAATTTTTATTCAGGAAAGCGGCCTTTTTTCCTCCACTTCTTGAGGGAAACAATGTCAACCCAAGCGCATGCAGCGCACATTGACCACTTTCAACCTTCAGCCCGGGCGAAAAGCCTGCTGATTTGATGGTTTAACCTTCCAGCGAGCACTCGGGAGCTGCTCGCCACATGAGATAAGGCAAGCACGCCCCCACCACACCAAAATAAACGGCTCCATTTGAGGATTTGACGTAGTGGTACAGTAGTTCTGCAGAACAACGTAGCAGAGCAAACTACGAAAGAAAGCATTCAAGGTTTTCTAGCTGCTAAAGTTGTCACGGCCAAATTAACACCCAACGAACTCGGGATGATCTTTGTGGCATCTGCTTTCGCTAAGTGAACCTGCTCCAGTCAGCTGTTTCTCAAGCCCATCAAATGAGGCAGAGGAATAGAATTTAGGAGAACTTCGCGAACCAGAGGAGAAATTCGTTCGATTAACAGAATAGTGATAGGGGCACGAGGAGCAGGATGAAACAGGTCAGTGGCGGAGCATCGAACTAACGGCGCACCGTTTAGCCCTCCTAAGTGTCGTTCACCCTGTAAGCCTCGAGACCGCAGCTCACTGCCTGTACCTCCTGATTTTGCTAGAGCTCTCAAGCATATAGTACATTGCTTCAAAATTGTACTGCAGTCTAAAACGGACATAAGCAAAATACCAGAATCGAACTGGTGACCTAAGGATCTTCAGTCCTTTACCTACTGAGCTATCTCAACTATCATATATATATATAATATATAAAATTTTTTTAATTTTTTAAATATTAAAGAGTAGCCAAGTGGTACGGCAACGGATTTTGATATATTATAATGAAAAAAAAAAATTAATAAAACTTAAATTAACTTTAGAAGCTGGAAAAGCTACATCTAATCCTCCAGTAGGTAGCGTTCTATATTTAAGAAGTAAAAATGTAAATTTTTATGGAAAAAATAGAAGTGAAAATGTCAGCTTAAGTAGCATAAATATTAGTAAAATCTAATACTCCGAAAGCTGCATGAAGAAAAATTAATAATATAATTATTACAGGTCAAATATAAGAACTATTTGTTCTATTTGTTTTGGAAGTACAACTTTTAAACATAATAATTTAGGTAAAAATGTAGGTATTTTATCTGGGCATTAATGGAAAAATAGCCAAGTGCTAGTAAGTAAAAAAGGGCTGTTAGCTCATCGGTAGAGCAAATTGCCCAGTGCAGTGGCAAGCGGCGTTCGACGGTCATGGACGGCCCAGTGATCTACTGACGCCGTTGGCAGTTCAGTTGCGCAATTCCCAAGGGACTGCGCAGCCCTTCGAGTGTTCGAAGGGCTAGAAGCGTTTTCGGACACGTTAAACAACCTGGTTATGCGTCATATGCACGGTTCAGTGTATTCTGAGCCCCGTCCAGTTGGAATTGCAGGATCCAGAGGAATGCGCGCCTAGGCTGGCCGCATTTCTGAGGTACACATAATTTTGGTTGCGCAAGCATATAAAAAAATGGCGGAGGAGCGTTTGGTTTGCCACCACGGAAGCCGGCGGACCACAGACAACCAGTTCGGTACCTGGAGGCTGGAAAACCGACGCAGCGAGGGTCACAGGACAAGGATTCTGTTCATTCGACTAGCGTCTAAAGGAAAAGACACTACAGTATAGCTGTGTCGTCTTCTGCTTCTCCTCGGCCTGGCTTTGCTACTGCTGGTGGTGGCTCTGCTGCAGTTGCTGCCGCTTCTGAAGTGTGAGGAGGAAGTGGGCATCGGCTGCCTAGAGTGTCTGCCGCGTTCCAGCAGACCCTTACAGCGGTCTTCCACGTCAAACAAACTGTTAAACGCATTCTGCCACTGCTTGTTAATCACGTTCCAACATTTCTGCTGGTACAGCATGCACGTGCCGCTCACGATGATGACTACGACCTCACAGTTGTAGTGATGAGCACTACCATTAAGAAGAAACTCAAAAAGTACGACACAGTGCAAATGAGATAGCAGTTGGAGAACAAGACCCGCCAAAGCAAGATAACATTGGGGCTGGCCAGAGCAGCATGGACTCACACTTCCGGCGAATGGCACCTGTAACACAAGAAATAGCGTCACTGAACTGAAATATATGATTATAAACTACAACATACCAAGTAATAAGTAGATAAGAGAATGATAGGCTCAAACAACGCCAACTGCAATGTTGGCTCACCGCTAGTTGCTTGAGGAGGGAGCCTGTTGCTGGCTGCTAGCAGCGCAACTACTATTCAGCGCTGTGGGGAAATGAAGACCAGTGCTTTTTGTACATAGAAGAGGCTTATGCTTAATTTGATGCTATATGAAATATCGGTGCTTTCAGAATCTTAGAGGACGTGCTGCTGGTTTCTTGCAGTACGAGGTGTAATACGCAGAACTGGAACATGGGCCAGAAGTGGCCTTCAGGGGAATATAATTTAGAACACGTAAGGTAAATGAATAACTAGAGGCATTTAACAACGAAAAGGAAACAGTAGTTTGGAGATAAGGCCTAGCGTGCTCTGCTGTTAAGCCCGAGCGTCGGGGTTCACACAACGGCGCTGAAGCTGCACTGGGCAACACTATCACGCAGGGAGGAAGGAACAGCTCATACCCAGATACATCCCGTGGAAATCGGATCTACAAATGGTGATGTTCAGAGCCTTTTACTGTTCGAATGGTGCCTTTTGTGAGCATTGATAGATATCAACTTGTGCCTCTACAGCGGGAGTCACCGATGCACCAAGGTGGACTTCTCTCACTATGCCAGGCCTAGGGTGGCATGCGTAAGCGCCTAGAAACTTTGGATGCACAACAGGAGCATTCTATAATTTGGGATGGAGCTCAGAGGAGGGTTATAGCTGCAAGGGTTTAATACACACGGAGATGCCTGCAGAAACGCTGAAACGCTGCTGACAGCAATGACAGCAGCAGCAACAACACCAGCAACAGCGCCATCTGGATCCGTAGGAAAACAAACAACCCGAGATGAAGCGGCAACGGCATTTCATGACAGCTGCGTTAGCACCAAAATATCAGCAGAAGCAGCATCAGCGGCGCCAGAAGCATCTGCTCCCGTTGCAGGAACAATAGCTGTTTTTTTGGGACCTTACACTGCACGACCACAGCAAAGTTGAAAAGTTTCAGCATAGCAGCAAGCCAAAGTGCGCTCATAGATTGCACAAGCGAATACATAACTGCGTATTCGTTTGTATTTTAGTTGAATAGTAGAAATATGATCAGAAATCTCCAAGTGTGAAGCAGACCAAACAGTGAAGAGCTCTGCAGATATCTTGCGCAGGATGAGGCCTCACCAAGCAGGACATCCACCCAGTGAGCTGGCTACCTGTCCACTGCCTGAACTATTCTTTTCGTGGAGGAGCTGTAGCTACTGATTTCCTTTTTGTTGTCGCTTCGTACTAATGCTGCATTTCGTTGTTTGTGCTGCGGTCGTTGTAGGGATGAAACTTTCTGCACTGGATACTATGCCATCAACTCGTCTTTCTTATGAAAAAAGAGTAAACTAAAATTTTACTGTTTACTGAAACTCGCTTGTATGCAGGAGGCCAATCGTGCCGAGGGGGCGCGAAAGGTGAATCGTGGCCATTTCAGATGCCACGTTGGGTCTCACGCGGTGCTCATGCTTTGAAGTAAGTTAATGGAATTATGCCTTCGGCAATGGACGAAACACTAACTTCCGGGGATGAAATACTGGGGCGCCATAAACGAGGTTATCATGTGACCAGTGCTCTCTTTGTTCATGCCCTCCAGCCAAAGCACTTCCAAACTGAATGCAGCTTTCCTAAAAGGTGTAGCAGCATAGTAGCTATTGTGAAAGCCGCTTCCGCTTGCTCCAATACGAGGCAGCTTCTGAGCAGCAACGAGCACGAGCACTGCTGTTCAGCTACGGCAAAAGAAAATGATTCTCACGAAACTGAACTGTTGAGAAATAGAAATGAAACAAAGCACTGAAACAGAGAAAACGCGCAAAGCAGGCCGTGCTCGTGTGCTCGTGGGAGTCAAGGGCATGCGTACCGGGTTTGAGGGTTGCAGTTGCTGGTTAGATGTTTACTCTCATATATCTTGGACATAGTTTTCGTTTCTAAATTGTTCATTCAACTACCCAAGTAGGGAAATCGAAAGGCGATCCTAAAGGAAAGCGATGCACACAGCTTTCACATTGTGGCGTCGCGGCCGTAAACCAGATCACGCTTCCATGCAATAAACACAAAAAGCACGGAGAGAATGCTCACTGAGCCTCGAAACTGCATGCAAAATAACACGACAACTCTGCGCTCGGTGTACAGGCACAGTGAACTGGCGAGTAGCAGGAAGAACTGGCCAGCGTTCGGGAAAATTCGGCCCCGTTATCTTCTATTGGAATTAGTATTGCGAGCAAATTATTTCTTTTTTAATTTCCCCGCTAGAAACAAATTAAGAAAAGAAGCATCTTCATCGTCATTTGAGAGCTCGGGCGATCTGATGGTCGATTGGGAACATGAACGGGCAGTGCTCGCTCCCACGTGAGGAGAGCGTGCTAATTCTCCCTGCTTCGCGCTAGCCAAACTTGAGAAATAAGTTTCAATTAGTTTACAATTTAATATGGGCTTCAGAGAGGCGACAACAGCGAGGGAAACAGCAGCCATCGACGCTGGTCCGCCCGCAGCTGGCCGCACACAGGAGGCATGGCGTAGCTAGCTCTGGCCGATCTCGTCTGGTTTTAACTGCATTCATTAATTTTCCTGATCCCTATTTGGGACTTATTCCTCAATTTTTCCTCATCAACCACCACTTCCTTTTTCTTATTTGGGCTTCTTGTGCTCACCTCTCGTGTCGCTTTTCAGAATCGGGCGCCACCAGCTAACCGCCCTTCACAGAGTCGTTCCACATGCTGGCTCATGAGCCAAAGGGTTATGTTTCTTCCTTCTGTTGATGACAATTCCTGCTTCTGTGTAGCTAGTATTTAAGCACAGTTTGGCCGTTCCTGCGGCAACAATGCTGCAACGCAACCCGCGGTGGGCGCTTTGCGCGACCCTTGCCGCACTCTACAGCGGCACGCGCATCCAGAGTAAGCGAAAGCACATACAGATCAGGCTCCATCCTCTTTTACAGCTAATGTTAGGGCATTCCAGTCTCATTCCAGTGCATTTCACGTTTGAAGGGGCACTGTTGTGTCTGAATTAATGCTGCCCAGCGGCAGATGTTCACGTGGCCAAGGGCTCACTCAGCGTGCCGTTTTGTTGTGAAGGAACCGTAGTTGGCACGCTTCATGTCTTCGTGCTTCTCCGAGTGCTTGTGGCGCGTCTCTTGAGCTGAGTTGCCGCCAGGCATGTGTAGTCATAGGCGTGCTGAGTATGTTTGCTGCTGTTTTGCTGCCGCTTTGCACAAACCACTGTTTGCTGGTTTTGGTTTTGTTGCTATGCAGGCGCATCAGGTGCTGAATCTCAGGATATCAGCCAATGTGAGTCAGCTTGGACTCCGTGGACAACTTGCAACCCGAGTACAGGCTTGCAAGAGAGACATAACTCGCAGTGCGAGACGTGGGTGGAAGTGAAAGAATGCCAGAAGCTCTCAGGATGTACGTGTTTCGCGGTCTTAACCGACCCTGAACCCTCAAGTCGTTTCTGTAGCTGGCTTCTGTTGTTTCGGGTCTCAGGCTAGATTGTGTGCGGGGCGTATTATACTGTGTTCGTTTTTTGTCTTCTCAGGTGGTGCTTTTTCGGCGTGGTCACCCAGCGACGTTGCATGCGTCCCCGGTCAGTTCCAGAGTCGATCTCGGGAAAACTGTCCGGAGGTGATGGAAGTCAGGTCGTGTAAGCACGAGTCAAAAGAGTGTAACAAACTATGGACCCCGTGGACAGTGTGCGACACCAACAACTTGCAAGAAAGATACAACTCTGCGTGCGGGCCTGTTGAAGTGCGCGAATGCCAAATGTCAGAAGAAGAAGTCAAGAAGTGTGAGTTTTGGAATTCTGCAAATTTGAAAGTTGTGCCGTTGCCAAATAGGTGCCATTCATTCTTCCGTATGTGTGTTACACGAATAAGTGGATGGGTTTTTTCGTCTTCACAGGCGGTGATTTCGGCGACTGGAGCCCCCCTCTCGCTGGTGACTGCGTGCCTGGCACTACTCACACACGCCAGAGGGCAAATTGCCCAAACCACAAGGAGGTGCGGGTTTGCGGCGCCTTCGATTGTAGCCAGTGCTCAGTCAACGCTACCTGCGACCCCCTCGGAGCCACTTGTCAGTGCAAACCGGGTTTCCGAGGCGATGGGACTCAGTGCGAGGCATTCAACCCTTGCGAAGGGGAGACGGCTCCTTGTGATGCGAACGCGACCTGCACGGCTGATGGAAATGACGCCAAATGCCACTGCAACAAGGGCTGGAACGCAGACAGCAAGGCAGGTGCCAGCGGTCACGCATGCGTGGAGGAGGACGAATGCGCCAACAACACGCACGAATGTCCGCAGCACTCAACTTGCGTCAACACTGAGGGCTCCTATGAATGCAACTGCTTACCGGGTTATCAGAAGGATCAGGATGGGAAATGCCAGGACATAGACGAGTGCGCTGGGGAACATGGTTGTCCCGCACACTCGACTTGCGTGAACACGGCAGGCAGCTTCGAGTGCAAGTGCGACGCCGGTTTCAGTGGCAGTGCTACTTCTGAGAGTCCTTGCTCGAATATAGACGAGTGCCAAGACCCGGATGCCTGCTCAGCCAACGCAATCTGCGCAGACACTGAGGGCTCTTTCACTTGCAGCTGCCCTGAGGGTTACAGCGGTGGGGGATCACACGACTCTCCTTGCTCGAAGATAGATTACTGCGCCGACCCCACACTGAACACCTGCGGGGCCCACTCGACTTGTGTGAACACACTAACGACGTTCAAGTGCGTTTGCGATGCCGGTTATGACGGCGCGGGAACGCACGAGAGCCCTTGTGTGGATATCGACGAGTGCTCCAAGGAGAAACCATCCAATGACTGCAACCGAAACGCCGTTTGCACAAATACTGAGGGATCGTACACCTGCGCATGCAAGGAAGGCTTCTCTGGCGAGGGTTTCGGAGCTGCAGGGTGTGCAGATGTCGATGAGTGCGCGAATTCGCCCTGCGACGCCCACGCCTCTTGTGCCAACACCGAGGGTTCCTACGTTTGCACTTGCAACCCTGGCTATGAACCAGCCTCAAGCGACGGACATGCATGCAAGGACGTTGACGAGTGTGCAGCGGGCACGGCGGAATGCCACGTCTCCGCACAGTGTGTGAACGTGGATGGCAGCTATGAATGCCACTGCTTGGAAGGTTTCATTGGCGACGGAAAGGTGTGCAGTGACGTTGACGAGTGTGCGGCTGAGGCTTCGCCCTGTGGCGCAAACACGCATTGCCTGAACACCATCGGCAGCTACGAGTGCGAGTGCAAGGACGGATATGGCCACATGGAGGGCAACGCGTGCAGCGACATCGATGAGTGCTCAGAGGCGTCTACAGAGATCCCAGAGAACTGCAACTGTGTCAACACCGAGGGGAGCTTCTCCCTTGAGGCAAAGCCTGGGTACGAGCTCGTCGACGGCAAGTGCGTCAAGATCGACTTCTGCGCCCGTGGTGCATGCAACTCGCTGGCGCACTGCAAGGAGAATCCCGAGGGCACCGCGGCGATCTGCACTTGCATAGCTGGCTATTCAGGTGACGGCACAGCTCAGGGCCACTGCGATGACATCGATGAGTGCTTGGCGGAGAATGACTGCACCCCTGCCGATCAAGGAGGGATTTGCGAGAACACTGTCGGCTCTTACACCTGCAAATGCGCAGCTGGGTACCAGCAAGACGGCAACTCATGCACTGACATTGACGAGTGCGCCAACGGCACTCACAACTGCCATGCCTCCGCGACATGCACGAACACGCAAGGCTCCTTTGAGTGCGCCTGCAACGCAGGCTTCAGCGGCAACGGGGTTGAATGCAACGACGTCGACGAGTGCTCGACTGACGCTGACGATTGCGGAGAGAACACACTGTGCAACAACACAGTTGGCAGCTTCGAGTGCACATGCATGGCTGGCTTCGAGGCCGCGGACGCGAAGACCTGCAAAGACATCGACGAATGTGCAAGCGGGACCCACACTTGCTCCACCCACGCGACATGCACCAACACTGCTGGGTCGTTCACATGTGAGTGCAACCCAGGCTTTGACGGTGACGGCCACAAGTGCGAGGACGTGGACTTCTGCGGCCAGGGGCTGCACGACTGCAACGTGCATGCAGAGTGCTCGGAAAGCGACGACAACACCACCTTCAAGTGCACCTGCGGCATTGGGTACAGCGGGGAAGGCCACGGGGAGAATGGTTGCCAAGACATTGATGAGTGCGCCCAAGATGCCATCTGTGGGGAGAACACAGTGTGTACCAACACACCAGGTAGCTTTGAATGTGCGTGTGTGGAAGGGTTCGTGGCTGTGGGAGCGAAGCTCAAGGGAGCAACTTCATTGACCTGCATAGACATCGATGAATGCAACGACGCCTCGAAAAACACTTGCGCCACGTCAGCTGACGGAGGCTCTTGCAAGAACACCGCAGGCAGCTATGAGTGCTCGTGTTTGCCTGGGTTCCAGGGCGACGGCCACAGCTGCACAGATATTGATGAGTGCGCCACCCAAGGCGTATGCGGGGAACATGCGACCTGCGAAAACACTGCGGGTTCGTACAATTGCACCTGCGAGGCGGGTTACACTCAGCAAGATGGGGCCGTCGGCTGCATTGATATTGATGAGTGTGCAGCCTCCACAGCAGTGTTACCCGCCAACGCCACTTGCGTGAACACTGAAGGCAGCTATACATTCGAATGCGTGCCCGGCTACCGCCATACGGAGAATGGCTGTACCAAGATTGATTTCTGCAGCGAAAAGGGATGCAATGCGAATGCCAGCTGCAAGGAGAACGATGCGGGCACCGAAGCCATCTGCACCTGCCACAGCGGGTACGAGGGCAATGGCGAAGGAGAAGAAGGGTGCAAAAACATTGACGAGTGCTCCGTGGGAGAGCCATGCAAAGACTTCGGCGAGGGCGGCGTCTGTGTCGATTCTCCGGGATCCTTCAGCTGCTCTTGCGCCACCGGTTTTATCAAGAGGCGATCTACTTGCCAGGACATAGATGAGTGCCTCGACGGAAAGATGAACACTTGCGCCCCCGTCGGGGGTATCTGCACGAACACCGTCGGCTCCTTCACCTGCTCTTGCGCTGCTGGCTTCACGGGTGACGGCCTTACTTGCGAGGACATCGACGAATGTGCTACGGCGGCACACACGTGCGACCCCAACGCCACCTGTGTCAACACTGTCGGCAGCTTCGAATGCGGATGCAAGGAGGGATTCTCTGGTGACGGCCACACATGCACCGATATCGACGAATGCGCTGACCCTAACCTTAACAAATGCGACACACACAAGGGCATCTGCCAGAACGGCACTGGATCCTACACTTGCGGATGCAGGCCTGGATACAGTCTGGCGGCGGACGGCTTCACTTGCGACAGTAAGCGACATGTTGCAGGGCGTTCGGGAATCTGTTTGGGCACGGTTTCTGTTGTAGTTGAACTTGGACAGTACTACTACTTGGGTGGGCAGAAATGGGGTCGTGAATGTTTGTGTTGCCGTTCGCCTTTCAGATGTCGATGAGTGCGCTGCGGGGACGGCCACTTGCGGAGAGCGCAGCTTCTGCGTGGACACGCAAGGGTCATACAAGTGCGAGTGCAAGAACGGCTACCGCCAGTCTGGGGAGGACTGCGTGGACGTTGACGAGTGCGAGGCTGATGTGCACACATGCAGCGAGCACGCTACGTGCACGAACACTGAGGGGAGCCACACCTGCACCTGCAATGAAGGGTACCAGGGAGACGGAAAGAAGTGCGAGAAGACAGTGGGCCCTTGCGACAACTCGCCATGCGGCAACAACGCCATGTGTGAAGCTACTGCCGATAGCTACAACTGCACTTGCAAAGCTGGCTACGAGATGAAGGACGGGGCCTGTGTCGACATCGATGAGTGCCAGTCGGGCACCCACAACTGCGACCCGCATGCTGACTGCAGCAACACCGATGGATCCTTCACGTGCACGTGCGGTTCTGGCTACACTGGTGTGGGTACCCTTTGCGAGGATGTGGACGAGTGCGCGGGCAACCATGCGGGCTGTGACATCAACGCTGTTTGCACTAACGTCCCTGGCTCGTTCACTTGCGAGTGCAAGAGTGGCTTCGAAGGCGATGGGCACGAGTGTACGGAGAAAGTGCTGCTCCCTGGCCAGATTCACTGCGATTCGTGGACTGCATGGACCGAATGTACAGCTGAAACTAAGCAGAGCACCCGCAAGTGCGTGGCTCTTCCTCTCAAGGTCGAGGTGAAGCTTTGCCCCGATGCTGACATTTCAGCCTGCGGTGAACTCGGCGAGTGGTCATCATGCCCAGGAGTTGACAACAACCTGTCGCACCGCAGAGCAGAGAAGTTCGGGGAGCCGGGCTGTGAGCACGCTGAGGAGGTCAGGGAGTGCCCAGATGAAGGTCAGCTTGAAAAGTTGTGTGTGATTTTCCTTCTGCTTTGTTCAGTAGATCTTGCGGAGTAATCTTCACGTCGAGTGAATACGTTGTTTTTGACTTTCTTGCCTATCTTTTTGCAGAAGTTGAGGAGCGCTGTGGTGCCTTTGGCGAGTGGACTGCATGCGGCGATCCTTCTGAGGGCTTGAGGACCAGGACGCGCCAGAACTGCCCAGAAGAGGCAGAATTCGAGCACTGCACAATGCCCTCTGCACCATCCGTTCCCGAGGGCGGCAGCAGCTGCACAGAGTTCGGGGCCTGGAGTGAATGCGTGGCTGACGCTCATGGGATCAAGATGCAGCACAGAACGTGCGTACACAATGAAGCTGTGCAGGAACACAGAATCTGCACCGTGGAAGATCCACAACAGTGCGGGGAGTGGTCGCAGTGGTCAGAGTGCAAGAATGGCAAGCAGTACAGAGGCGCCGCCGGATGCGCGTCTGTGTACGAAGTCAGAGCCTGCAGCGGTCAGTCCATATCCACTGTAGTCACCTGTGTGAAGGCTTGTGCACAGCAGCAGAAGCTGTCAGGTACAGAACATAGGGTTGCCTACTACGCAGGGCAGACCAGTGATTTATTTGTTACGTGTCGTCTGTGCATGTGTTTCAGGCGCTAGCGATGCGAAAGAATGCTCTTTTGGTGCGTGGAGCGGCTGCGTGGTGGAGTTTGGCGGTCACACTTACAAAGTGCGAAACTCAATCGACTGCGAGCTCAGTGAGCTGCAGGCTTGCAAGCCGAGCGCCGCCACCGAGGGCGAGGGCAAGTGCGCTGCTTGGAGCCCCTGGACGATCTGCAGGGACGGCATGCAGACTCGCGACTGCAAAAGCCTGGGTGTTCAGGAGTCCCGCCCATGCTCAGCTGAAGGAGAGACCGATTCTTGCGGTGAATTACCAGACTGAGGATAGTGTTGCTGCATTGGTAGACACTGGGCTACTGGCAAGGGTAATTTTAGGCCGGCTGAACTTTGTGGCTGGTGGCGGTACAATTTCTGAACCTGCTGTTTCTTTTGTGTACGAATACAGGAGCCTTTGGACCCTTCGAGCCGGCAGCTTGCAAGGCTGGCGAGATGGTCACGAGGACGCGGGAGTGCAACGGTGCTCAGCAGAAGGAAACCAGACTGTGCAATCCTGGTAGGTTCATCAGGTGGACACACCCTTTTGCGTGTCAAGATAATTGCAGCGAGGTTCGGCTCACGTTTAAGACACTGTCTATTTCCCAGTTCTTCAAATTCTCTGTGTGTATTATTTGCAGAGGGCAATGACAACTGCAACAACTGGGGTGCTTGGACAGAGTGCTCGCTAATTGTGGGCGGCTCTGCCCTGCGGTCTCGCGAGGAGTCCACTTGCGGCTATGTGGAGTTAGAGGAGTGCAGTGGCAGCAGCAGCAGCGGCGACCAGACCGTCCACTGCGGCAGCTGGTCGGAGTGCTCCATGAGAAAAACGGAGCGCACCTGTGATGTCCTCTCTGACGGATCCCACACCAGCGTTACTGAAGTGCTCACCTGCGACGACGTGCTGCCTGACTCTTGTAAGTTTTTCACGTTTACAGCAAACTGGAAGGCGTGTGCTCGGCAGGGGCTGGTCGGGGATAGATTAAAGCCTGGAATTATTTGTGGGTTTGGGGTTTAGTGCTTGTTTTTCTCGTAATGAGCTAGCTTTTTGCAGTTAATTGCGGCTCCGAGGGAAGTAACAGTCTTTACAATAAGCTAGTTCTTCGCGCAGTTATGCCCGAAATGTGCTTGTCTCCTTCTCTGCGCAGGCGGTGAATTTGGCGAGTGGTCCGAATGTAGCGCTGACGGCTTGCACTCGAGGTCCCTGTCAGGCTGCCCAGACGTAACTGAAGTGATGACTTGCGGCAGTAAGCAGAAGCAGCACGCTGCGGAGCTGCACATACATACGTGTGCTGCTCGCAGGGAGTAGCAGTGACGAACAACAGACTTAGCAGTTTATTTCCGTTTTGTGTACCGGTTCATTGTTTTTGTAGGCGAAAACTGCCCGGCTTTCGGCGAGTGGAGCGAGTGCGGCAGCCCAGAGGACGGCCTACGGTCGCGTCAGCGAACGAACTGCGAAGAGGGATCCGGCTGCATTTGCTCCGAGACAGAAGCCTGTGTTAACACTGAGCTCCACCCCATCCCATTGCCAGTTCCTGGCGGCGGCGAGGGCAGCGAGAACGGCGAGGGTGGCCAAACCGGAGAGGAGGGAACGGAGGGAGGCGCAGGCGGTGCTGGAGGATCCGGTGGTGCTGAGGAGCTGCCCGGAGAAGAGGGCGGCGCAGGTGCCGGCGGAGGAGGAGGCTCTGGCGGTAGTGCTGAGGAGCTGCCTGGAGAAGAGGGCGGCGCAGGTGCCGGCGGAGAAGGAGGCTCTGGCGGCAATGCTGAGGAGCTGCCCGGAGAAGAGGGCGGCGCAGGTGCTGGAGGAGCCGAAGGCGAGACAGGGAAACCTGGCGGCGAAGAGGGTGGCGCAGGCGGCGCTGGTGAGGGTGCTGGCGGTGAAGGTGGTGAGGTCCAGCCTGGAGAGGGAGAAGGGGCGAGTGAAGGAGGCGAGCAAGTGCCGGAAACCCCTGAGACACCCGAACCGGAAACACCTGAAGCTGAGAGACCTGAAGAGCAACCCTCGACGGAAACTCCAGCAGAGGAGCCCACCGAAGGCGGTGCAGAAGAAGAGGAGAAGGAGGAGGGCAGCGGCTTCCCCACGGCAGCTGTTGCCGGAGGTGTAGGTGGTGTACTACTGCTGGCAGCAGTGGGTGGTGGCGTTGCCGCGTACTCCGGTGGTGGTGGAGGTGGCGGTGCCGAGGAGGCTGAGCAAGTTGAGTTTGAAGGTGAAGAGTCGGGTGGTGCGTCTGCCGAAACACCTGAGGCTGATACTGTGATTGACATCACTGACGAAGACGACTACTGGGCAGACAGTGGTGACATCCAGTAGGAGTGCGGTAATGGATGCGGCAACAAAACGGAGGACAAGGGCCGGAGGAACAGACAGTGTTGAAAGAGCGGAGGTCATAGATTTACCACTAACAGCTGGCAAAGTGGGGGGGGGGATATGCGCAAAGTGATCTTCTAATGGGTTTATAGTCAGCTATCAATTTGATGCGACTTGAGACACTCCCCATATCCCCTTCCTGACGAGTTGTATTATTTTCGTTTGTGGCGGGTCATTGGTGGGAAATGGACTGCAGACGCGCTATGTCGTCTGTAGCTCTTGAATATACACAAACGTGCGTTTTTGTGTGCGTGCATACATAATGTATATGTGTAACTTTGCACACATATGCGTATAGAGAGCTGACGGCGGCCTCATTACACTTGTATGCTGAATTTAATTTCAAGGGGCGCTCGTCCACGCAGTGAAATGGAGCACTCAGACGTTCATGATATGAACACAACACCTCTCAGTGGCACAACTTTGTTAAGAAGCATCGATGGCGTAGCGACCTTGGCACCTGGGTCCCGTTCCCTCCCCAGTACCTCTGGAAAAGATGAGGGGATAGGGAGGTCGGGTTTGGTGGTTCAAGTGTGTGGCCATCTTCGACTATGATGCAGTGCGACCAATGAGTGGAAACGTGAACAAGGAGTGCCTGCCTGTCATCGCGCTGCACCGAGATCAATGCAAGGCATCTCGGTTTTTTTCGCCGAGAATAAATACATCCCGAACCACTTACTACACACACGCTTCGTCAAAAGTCGCTCGACAGTCTTGCCGAGCGACTTCACACGAACCCCATGATGATTTTCTACCTCCCAGGTTTCCCCAACTTCGGAGGCAAAGCCTCCTTTCTTCATCACGCGAACTCTTTTCGACTGGGAATTCAGTTGCGGTTGTACACTGATATGCGACGATACGATCTTCATCACTATAGTATAGTTATTGAACTGCAGAAGCAAAACGCAAATGGGAGCTAATGGTGCGCAGCGCGTTCACACAGATTGTAGCGAACGTCCACGACGTTTAAGACTAATTCAAAACGCGGCAGCGCAGGATGTTGGCAAGATCGTTGCACAAGGTATTGGCAAGGTCGTCGCACTGCGTGAAAATCCTGTCACGGGCAGTTGTAGCCTACTCGACAGCGTCTTCTCAGGCATCCGCCCACGTCATTGGCCGTCGTCTTCTGCACACTGTCCTCTCCGTGCCTCCCCACCGAATTTTTCATTAGATACGACGACAAATGGAATCGACTCGCACTAAGCTAGTGTTTGGAACTGAACAGCCCATGTTACTTGTTTCGATAGAATTTGGATACTTGCCACCACCTTCTGAAGACTGGCACTGCAGACTATTCCACACAGATTCTTGCGACCCGAAATTCCTCCAACTGCTTGTTTAAACATATCGTACTTCTGCAGTCAGGCAGTGATGGCCTCGTGTCAAACACGAGCACTTTCCCGCAGCGACAAGCAACTACAAAACAGTCTTGAAATGCCCTATACATTTTGCCTGCCTAGTATTAATGTGTATTGTTTCTGTCACTTTCAGTCATTTATCAACTAGGCAGATAAAACATATTGGGCACATTAACGAACCTCAAATTTTCAAAGTTGGGTTAGGCAAGGAGGCCAAAAGTGAGAATACTGAATACTTTTGTATTAAAAGAATACGTCAAAAAAAACACCCGCTAGACCGATTCCTATATATCCCTGGTCATCGTTCTATTTCTTCTTGGCTGCTGCCTTGGCCAATAATGCCTTTCGAGCAGCTTCTTCCTCCCTAAACGCACCCCACATAATGCACCGCAGGACACGAAGAGCGTTCAAGCACTGTGAGACGCTGCTGCCACTTGTGGTTATTGAGCTTCCACTTACCGCTTAGCTTGGGCCTGTTTCTGCTTAAATTCCTTGTCTTCTTCAAATTCAATTGACTCCTTCTTTGGAGCCTTCAAAGGCTTCTTTTTGCCTCCCTGAGCAGTTTGTCAAAAGATAGCACGACGCTGGGAATATGTACCAGAAGTCACTACTTCCCGTGCCTGTGAAGATTCTCTAGCTACATAACAAAGACGATTTATGGAATTGAAATTCCTTGTCAAAGTGCCCCTGAGAATGCAACCTGCAAGATATAATAATGATACGCCACTATAGAAAGCATGGATGCCCTCAAAAGTCGTGCAGCAATAAAACGGCAGCGACTATCTATTGTTAGAGAAACTGGCACCAAGAATCCAGTTGTACGTGGCAAGGAATGCTATACTTTGCTACATGCATCTCTCTTGGGGACATTTACTGGGACAGACTGATTGTAGTTGAGTCTGACTTTCGAGACGGCTTAGGAACGGTGAAGCCAGAGCATCCCAAGGATTATCTATCGATCACCCGAATTCTAATAATTGTAAGAAACTGCACTGTAAAGAAAAACTACAACGTCTGCAAAGAGCAAGGCCGCCTCCAGCCTCACTCTTACTCTGGTGGGGAACACTAAACATACCTGGTTTCCAGTGGGCATCGTGACTCAGGACTGGGAAGGAATTACTACGTTGGAGTTTGTTCGCTTACAAAAATCTAGATTGTTCAAATTAAATGTTTTTTTGTTCGTAATTGACCAAACTCTTACCCGGCGTCATTTGGTTTCCTCCACCCTTGCATGCACTCAATGGCAAGGCCAGCCACCAACGTCACAAAAGCATGACGCCTTGGATGCTTGGCACTTTTGCTGTAAATTGTGCTATTTTATCTTTGAGTGTTAATTAAATTTGTGAACTGCCAGTTTGCTAGCACTCGGTACCGCCACTTCGTGGAACTGGTCATCGTCACGCATTCTTTCTAACGGACTTCGCGTTTGAAACTAGAGCTCTGCAAACCCGTATTCAGTCTCAGCAAGATGGATATTAGCGGAGGCGAAGAGAAGAAGAATCCGAAGGTTGTTGTTGTCCCGCCGTCAAGCAGGTCAGCGACCCATGGCTACTCGAGGTGTGTTCAGAACCGTTTCATATTACACGCTTCAGTATCTATGAATGTTGCAGGCCCCCTGAGGCCCAATTTGCAGACCCGGCAACAGGTGCACCAATTCACGGCAAAATGCCTCCTAAGAGCAACTCTGTTCCAATAGAAACTACGAGTGGAGCGTCCAAGTTGCTAGACCCAGCAGACATCGAAGATATATTTGAGAGGCAGGACAGCCGCATGCCGGATATATGCGAAGACGAACAAAAAAATTCGAATTCGAAATGAGTGTGTAAGCTATCACTCTACTGCGGCATCTCTAATGCAGATATGTCCGCTTAACATCATCGAGGTTCACACACGAGTTGCACTCTTTGCCACTTTTGCCTTGATGTGTTTTCCAGCAGAAACAACGGCGCCACCAAAGTTATCGGCGTATATTTTTGTATATTCCATTATACCTGTAAGCGCCGGCGAAATTGTCACACAGTTGGCCTGCGGAGATTGCACAATTCTTACCGTAGGGCATATTGGCGAAAATAAGAACCAGAAACGCAGAGAGGCCAGCTAGTACAACTGAATTTCGGCTATTTATATGCATTCAGGCACGACGCTTGGTTATGGACTCACCGCCACATGCAGCACTGATGGTCCAGAAGAGGACAGCGTCTGTCTTCAGACACGTCTGAATGGTTGTCTGTACCAGGACGCTCCGTTTTTGCTTCCATTTGTTGGATTTACCAGAGATTCCGCTAGAAGCATTGCTCCAGACAACGCAACAGCAGCGTCAACAACGAGTAGAATGTGGTAGGTGTAGACCTGCGCAAGTGGTGTGCCACGAAGTTTGCGCCGGCGTGCCGTGCTTCAACTCACGAGCACGATATCAACTACTCTGGAGTGGTATTGTAAATTTTATAAGAGAGTCATGCTGCATTATCGGCCTTACCCAATAGTCACAGTGCCGGAGGTCAGTGAGACCTGTTTCCTCAAATGAGTACAAGGAACTTCGCGATTTGGGGAATCAGCTGACCTCGACGAGCTCCTTGATAGACCTAAAACCGAGGAGAATGAGCCAAGTGCCGTGAACATTTTTGGAGGTCTTCCTCACCAGGGGTGCATTATAATTTTGCTTTCGGTGCTGGCTCCCTCATTTCTGGCGTATGCCATGAGTCCAGCGCATAGCCCTGTCTGAACTGGCGTCCACAGAGTTCTAAGGAGGTATGTGGTATGTGCATACCGCAACGAGAAGGCCGCCCATCAGCCTTGCGAAGCCTGCAGGCTCGTATGAGGAGGATGTATTCGAGAGGACTGCTCATTCTGTCGTACTAATGCAGTCGGGACAGTAGGATGCCAAAGCAGCAGAAGCAAAGCATGCAGCTCCCCCGCAAAGGCAGAGCCAAAACGCGACCTGAAACCCGCAGTGGGATTTTCTTTTCAGGTTGGCATAACTGTTCGAACTAACCTGCAATGCAGACTGCAGGTGGCCTTGCAGTTTGCCCCGCATGGCCAAGTGACCGTCAAAGGCCATTCGAGCTTGCATCCACAGCTGCATCTCCAGAAAGTGCTGAAAGGAGAAGATGGTTTGGGTTTTGCTGCAAGCACGGCTTGAAGGAAGGAGCGCATTCGGAAAGATCAGAAATAATGAATCTGACGGCACGGGGCGGCTGCCAATTCCTCATGCTGTCTGTACACTTCGGCGTTGGTACGCGTCGCTGTATGGCAATGAACATTTCTCGAACGCAATACGCGTACGTACATACGCAGGAACTAACTGCTCTCTCTTTCTGTCCTAGCATGTGCGCTTTTTCGCATTGCAAAGTTGTTCAAACACTGACTTCGGCAGCTGTCAGTGTTCTACCGTCAGGATAGCTTTGCAGAGAGTAGCGGTTGCCACTAAAATTATAATGTCGGCGGGTGCCGTAGTGTTGGTTCCCTATTAACAAATGGCCGTGGTGCGATCTTTTAGTATAGCATTCCTTATTTTGAAAGGTGGGGGTTCCTACGTGTCAAGCATGCAGTTTTCCCACCAAAGACCAGGGTGAACTGCGAGCCAACACAGGGTCGTTGCTATCATGGTGAACACTGAGGCAAAGCAAATTCTGCAATCTGAAATGCGCTTGCTACAGGTGGACTCGGCGCAGACCCTTGCAGCCAGCTTCGTCATAGCGGCGCTTCCCATATCACGAATAGGCATATGCGGTAGCTTCTTGCAACGTATGAGCTAAGCAAGACAACTTGATATTCTATTGGCAGTAGAACACTGACAGCTGCCCAAGTTAGTGTTCTTCAATGTTTTTCAAGATGGCATTTTCTTGAGTGACTGCGAGCGGCATTAGCAGGGCACTCCTCACCGGAAGGGAGTTTCAGCACTAGAAATGATGATAATGCAATGCTGGACTGTGCACTGAAACCACTGAAAAGGGTACACGCTTTTTCGCTGCGCTCAGTGAACTATGGATCGCTTTCATGTCTTTGGCTCCCTAGCGAGGATCCAGCTAGTTAGCGCACACATAGATAGGCGTAAACGAATTCACACAATCCTTCTAACACAACAGTATCCTTTGGTCTTGCACTTCAACAAAATACTTGAAGCAGCGCTCGCTTTTGGAAGGTGCCCGCGTGCTACAGTAGTTTACCCTCCGCACAGGCGTGCATTTGTTTCGCCGAGTTCAACCATTGAGCTTTCGAATACATAGGAAGCAACAAAACAAGCAACTAAACATAGTGCTAAGGATTTCTAAAGACTATGGCCGAAACCTGATGCTCCTCCCTGCTTTCTCGAGCAGATGTAACATGTCGTCTGCGGTGAGATCACTAAACGGTTGCACTGTTGTTGTTGTACCATTCGCAGTTGCCCTCCCTTTTAGCCAAACTTTTCCTGACACTCAATCTTATAGATCGAAATCGATAGTAAATTTTTGACTGCTGCTCCTCCTCCACCGTACGTGAACAGTCCACTTAGGCGTGACGTACTGATATACTGTCCTCAACTCCACGTCTTAAGGCCCCAGCATCCCTATGTAACCCATTATGATCTGCTTTTAAAATTTTTTTGTGGTGAATCAAATGCAGAAACGAGTGAGTTGGAAGGAAGTCCTATGGAATGACACATTTCTGTGGAACCCCCAGCTCAGCAGTAACCACCGCGGCTCGTGAATGCAGGCGTAGAAATGCAACGGGAATGGCACGGTAGCCATGAAAATTAAGTATTATGAGTAAAATAGATTAAATTTGTGCTAGCTTGGGGGCCTTGGTAGCCAACACATTGACGGAAGAGACCAGCCTGCTCGAAGAACTATCAGCCATCAAGCATCCCACTATCGGCTCATGTGCATCTCCACACCTCAGTCGCCTTCTATCCATACCGATAGGGTTTTTTCTACTTCTTTTTCATGTTGGAAATTTTTACGCAAAGAAAGATCGGTAACTGCAGCTTATTCGCTAGCAGCGGACAACCTGGCCACAGTTACGGTCAGTCCTGCCCTATTTATGAAACAACTGTCTGTCCTCCAGCTTACACATTAAATTCCTCACTACATGTGCATATCGATGAAGTTGTTTTCGCAGCCCTAGTAACATATTCTTCAGCTTCCTCACGTATTTCACGACATCCGCAGGCGGTCTAACCACCATCAGGATCGACTTGGCGCGTAGCGAACGAGACCAATGCTTCGTACACTGAAGTTCCTAAAATATCCTCAGGCTGCGAATCTGCTGGAAGACAGTTTTAATGGGGAAGCAAGAGTTTTTTCTGAGAAGCCTTCGTAGGAAGCCGAAAGGCCTCACTTTGGCCTGCAAGCCAACTCGAAAACGAAGAGTAGGGCATGCAGGCAACCTCCTACACAGCGATAAATAAAGCTCACAGCAATGGCGGACCTCACGTCTCTGCTGCTTGCGGCCACCCTTGGCGGCGGAGGACCACGTCAGCCATCTCAGGGTCTCGAACTTCCGTCATTTTTCAACTGCGGGGCAAAAGAAGCAGAAATTGATGAGAAGTTTGTGAATGCTCCCCCACCCAAGCAGGGACCGCTGTTTTTGCGAATGTGCGTTCTATGCGGAAATGATCTAGCTGCAGGTACGCCTTCGAATCTGTGTTTCTCATACGACACAAGACTATTTCCCTCAACCATCATGCTTTCGTTGCCAAGATAGAGTCGCTCAAACTTGCCCCTAATTAAACGAACTGATGGCTATACCATATTTCTAAGTATTGGTAATTGTGCTACATTTCTAGTGTCAGAGACTGCGCAGCACTGTTGTTTCGTTTTCAACAGGCGACGTCACGGGGGCTTCTGACCCGTATGTGAGCATCCGCTATGAGGGCAACTCCTTTTGCTCGCCGCCTCAAATGAACACGCTCAACCCTGTATGGGAGTATTCGTTCGAGACAGAAATCAAAGTATGCTTAGAGGCTGGCTGCACATTGACACGGCAGAGAATGACGCAAGCTCGAAACAGAAATGACTTTTGTTTTGTGCCCAACTGCACTTGTGAAGGTTTTGCATCTTTGAACCGCTCTGTTTTCTGCTGAGCGATCAGGAAAATGGAACACTACATATTAGCGTGTATGACCAAGACATGGGAATGCAAGGAGACTTTTTGGGCTCTTGCCAGATGCAGATAACGAGGAGCCCATGCAAGCTGAAGAAGGAGACGATCCCGCTAGCCTCTGTCCCTGCTCCGTTTTTTTCAAAGCCGCCGAACAGTCGCATAACTGTGTTCTACCATATTGTCGAGAGACTAGAAGACCAACCAGACTTGGTCGAGCTGGCGAGACGTTTGGGTGACGATGCTACGGAACAGCAGAAGCCGCAGAACATGACAGTTAGATGTTGCTGCCTGCAAGTACGCCGTAATTGCATTAAAACACAGAAAAGATGGCAGCTCCCCAATGAATTCTCACGGGTTATGGGTTCACTTTCAGTGAAAATGAGATCCTGCCTCCTGATTGTACCGTCCGTTGAGTCTCTGGCTGTTGTGCGGAACCCACCAGCTGACAAAATTCCTGACACATACGCGAGACAGCGCAATGGCAGTAGCGCAGCAACTGATGCTGCCGTGTTGTGATTCGCCTCGTCTTTTCGGTGCAGACAGACCATCCGTCAGTTTCCAACGACAAAATGGCGGCCCTACGCTTGACCATCGGATCTCAAAGGGCCATCAGCCCTCCCGGAATCCCTGATGGCGAGCGCTACTTGTATGGACCCCCGGGTGTGGTAAGAAGTGTACAAGAAGCACACTCTATTAGCTCAGCTTACGCACTAAATCACTACCTTACATGCGCATGCAAAAATGACATCGGCATTTAGGATAAAGAAAAGTGCAAAGGTAAACAGACCACTGTATAACACTTGCAGGGGTTTTGTAATTTTTGGCAAACACATGCGTCATTCCTTCGTCCTAGGGTTGGCAAACTGACTTCAGCTTGAAAGATACCACCCTGGAGGATTTGTTGCAACTCCGCATTGTTGTCGACTGGATGCTTCGCGAAGCGACGGTAAGTTTGCCCGCTACTCATTCCTCTGCATCCCGGTGCAATACGATCATCTCTTTAACATCTAACGAGAACATAAAGTCACTTCTGCGCGCCTTATTAATACACGTAGGTGCTCTTGGCCATGCTCAATTCCGGGACAGCTAGGAGGCACAGAATTCGACTCCTCCCCACATTCCCTTGCGTACGCGCAGGCTGACGAGATAGAAGGGGCACGGAAGGAATACTTGAATGCAGCTGTACCAGACCAAAGTCCTGACCCAGAAGACACAGTGAAGCCAAACGATGCTGAAGCATCACCTGAAGCAATCAATAACGGTGGAGATTTTTCAGAAGAGCGTCATTGCCGCATTGGCCAAAAGGTGAAAATTCAAACGACAACCAGCGGCTTGGCCAGAGAAGTAGATGTGAGTAACCGGGATGCTGAAGACGCACCTACACTCACTCTCCAAGGACGTAAGCGCTACCGTGGCATAGCCTGTGTACAGTGGTTAGGTGTAAGTTGATATCTTGGAGGCATAACTGTCAGCTTCAAGCCTATACGCGAGAAGTATGCGGTGTGAACTTGGCATGGCATCTTCAACATTATGCTCGTGTGCTAATCACAGGGTCTAAGGCAAGGAGAAGGCGCAAACATAATGCTGACTCTAAGGTGCGTACGGTTCGCATGGATTCCCTCACCGTGGAGCTATCCACATCTTAGATTTTCATAGTTGTCCGAAAGCCTTTTCTACCATTGCCTGTCCTTCGTGGCTATAAATATGCCTGTTCGAAGTGTGTCGTGTTGAGAATTCCCGCCCTTGCCACCGCAAAAACGCGTGGGCTGGAGGACCGTGAGGGCCCTTTTCAATGTGTTTGTTTTCCCTCGTCAGAAAGGTTTCTTAACATTTGGCTCATGGCAGTTGCCACTGGAGGAGATCCGTGAATTTTGCAGCGAGCGTCGCCTATGTGCTTGGGCTGCGCGGTGTACTTTAACAAGTAAAAGCGGAGTCAGAAGGGGAGAGGTACTGGCATATTATACGTAAAGAATGTTTTAACAAGCAGCGGGCAAATAGATAATAACTTCTGCATCATTCCGTAAAACTTGGAATGGGCACTGTGTAAAGCCTCTTCAAGTTCATATGCAACTATTCAGCTTTTTGTCTGTGGTTTTCGGTGCAGCTGCTGATGCATGTTGACATTTTTGCAGAAGGCGAGAAACCTCTGCCAAAAGCAAACATTTTGCGTTATCCACCTCCAGTGTAAGTAACGAGCACCCGTCCCTAAAATCCACCTCCTAATGGCTAGCGTGCATTTGCTTGGAGTCCAACTACTTCGTGTGCCGTGTTTCTCGCGGACAGCTCATGCCTCTTTTCCCATGTCCTCCTATAGCGCAAGCAGTTCGACCACTAATTTGGGCGGAATACGTTTCGTTGTGCGTAGGTCGCTCGGGTCTGCCATTGCAGCTGCTGTGACACCTGGGAACGAAACGAATGCTGGAGAACCATCAGAGGCCGTTGATCCTTCCAAAAAAGACTTGGTGAGATATGCCCGGATAAACTGAAAAATTTACGCTACGTATCCCGTGGTTAGCCTAACGACTGATGCGCCTGTGATGCGGATATGGCAAACGACAACCTTTTACATACACGCTGCGCGACAGTGGTGGGGGCTGTGTTGGTGGACCATGGCTATTTTTGCAGTCGGCGAATCTTGATCTGTGCTTGCTTGTCGTTATCAAAAAGTCGTTGAGGGCGGCACGGCACATTTTGAAGCAAACTGCTTCTGATGGTGCGCCCTTCTCTATGTATTAATCCGAACTTTCCTATGGAAACTTTGCAGACGCTGTACGTACACTTGTATGCGGACTTCCTCCCGAAGACAGATGCGGACTTCGACTCGCAGCCGTGGAACGACTGTGACCCCTTTGTGGTGATCAAGTCAAGCCACCTGAAGGGACAGAAAAATTCGTGGACGACAACTGTTCAAAACAATCGCCAGAGAGAAGTTGAGTGGGAGTGCATGACTATTCAAGTTTGCAAAGACCAGTAGGACTCAAGCGGCACACAACAGCGTCGAATCGGTCGTCCACATTAAGTGTGCTCCTGAATTATAACTTGTTAAATAGCAAAACTGCCTCTGCGAAACAATTGTGTCTGCCGTTTGCAGGCGGCGTCGCCGATTGCAGCTGGAAGTTTTCGACTCTGATACTCCTTTCATGTTTGGCTCGGGCATCTTAAAGCAGCAAGTGGGCATGGCTCAAATGAGACAAATACCGCTGAACCGTCCTACCTGGCTGCACATGTTTGGGGGTGCAATAAATGGAACGAGGGAAGAATTCAGCACCGCCATGATCAAGGGGGCTCTGGAACCTCCGTCAACGTACCGCGGCAGCCTCTGCGTCCTTGCTGACACGAAGCGCACGAAACGAAAAAACTGGCCACCATTCCCGGACCGCTCGGGAGTCTTAGTTCATGTCCAAATAGTAATCGGCAGAGCCATTTACTTACCTGACACATATCGGTGAGGCTATTCATCGAAGGAAAGAAGTGACAACCCGCGCTCTCGTGTATATTTGTCTGCACTGAAAAATACTGCCTGTAGCTTCGTTTGTCAGTGTGTTTTGTCTTTCTGCATTGCAGGGGTCGGGAAGTTAGCTTACTAATTCAAGTTCCTGGGTGCGTTCTAGAAATACCTGGACCCATAGTTGCTCCTGGACGTGGTCTTTTTGCTCAGCGGCAAGTAGTCAAGCCAGTTACCCTGACGAGGAATCTCACTGGAACCCGGAAATGCAGGGAAATGGCTGAAATACCGCATGCAAATTCCGATATCCTCGAGTTTCCGGGTTATGTCGACGATAGTGGTGTGCTTCGTGTGTATAATTGGACAGCACCACGTGCGCAGATGCAACACGACACAGCCATTGCATTCAAAGAAGCTAACGCAAATGGCGGGGGCATGGCAGGCAGCACATATGAGACAGACTCGTCTCTTAAAGGCCTCAGCAAGCTTCCTACTTCCTTGCTGAATGCCTGGGTTTTTCGTGAATCCGAGGCAGTGTTCCTGCTCCCTCAGGTACAGCATGCTTACGTGTACTTGGTACCAGTTGGAGAGGAACACGAGCCACCAAAAATATTTGGTCGCATTCCCCTCACTCTCAGTGAGCGTACGAAGGCAGCTTTTGAGAAATCTGGCTCAGCAGGAAGTTCCAACGAGTGGCCGCCAGCTGAAGCCTTAGCTTCTGGGAAATCAGACAGCGAATCAGAGCTGCAGCAGATAATCGGACTCAGTAAGAATATACGCTCTTTAGCATTCAAGAAACATTGTTTATTTCAGTTTGCACCTGAGGTGTTCTCCCACTTGCGTTTACACTTCGTTAAAGTCGTCCACCTGAATGTCCAGCACGGATGCTACAAAAGACTGTGAAATGTCCCTATGTTGTAGCTCTTCATCATTGCACTGCAGTGCGGCTTGACTCTGCTTGCATTGGCTTAACTTTAAAAGACTACGGTGCCCTTCAGACATTTTAATTCTCTTGCGCACAATCGGGACAGTGTGCACAACGTCTTATCGTCTGCGCAGGAAGCGGAGAGGAAGCAAAGAAAACTTTACACCCCGCAGTGCCTGAGTGTGCGAGAATGTCTTGGGAGTCCAGCACAATACGAGAGCCAAACTCGGCGTCGATGTCCGATGACGGAATCGATATTGAGCCGCTTAAGTGGATCCAAGTATGCAGTTGCTCTTTTGGCTTTTCTGCCCATACAGTGCACAAGATATGTGTTGCTGCACTTTCTTGACACGCATAGAGTACATGCTCTGTAGCTGCTATGTACGTGCGCTGCTACTTACTGCGCAGATGCATTGGGACCAGTCCGTGACACCTCTGCCAGAATGTCGCTTTCCCTCCACGTTTGCTGCGTGCCTACTTGCCTCTGCACGTGCTGTTTTAAGCTCCCCAGATTCATCTCCAGCATACGATTCTACTGCTGCTGGTGATTCACAAAGCAGCCTAGACGACCTCAGCGAAGGAAGAGGCTCAGATTCCGCAAACGGGTAAGGCGGCTCACGCCCAAGATACGTTTGCTTGATCTATCGCTGTGAGAAATTCATCTACATGACGGGCCTCAGACTTATGCATGAACGCGTTGTTTTGTACAGCTGTCCCGATTTATGCATGTCACGGTTGGATAGTGCTCTGCTGTGTGTCCATAGGAAAGCGGACCCTGGGGAGTTGCCTACAGACAGACGCTTGACTGTTCAGAACGAAATTCCCAAAACAGAGTTTGTTTCAGTGTTCTGTGGAATGGACACAGTTGAGCGTCGCTGTGGTCATGTAGGAAGGAAAGTCTTTAGCGAGTCGCTGTTTTGCCTTTCACCTCCAAGTGGGCGACCTGAACAGCGTGAACCTAGCGGGCCTTCCAGAGGCGGTTTGAGTGGCCAAGCCACTATTCCAGAGGCGGCAACTCCTCCAACTTCGTTTCTCTCTGCTTCCCCCTTCTACAAGAAGGTCTATTTCCATGCCGATATACTACAGGCTAGGAGTCTCCCTGCAATGGATAATGACGCCCTTGTCAATCCGTGGTGGTCTCTCGAAGTCGAGGGGGAGGTGAGCTCATATAGCTGAATGCTGGAGCCTTGTAGGGTATACGTATATACATGTATACATACATGCATGCAATATGTACATATATACCATCAGCCATGGAATATATATACATATATGCCATGGCTGATGCTGTGAAACATGCTTGCCACTGAGTTATTCTGGTTGGACTTTCTCAGGTAATTAAAATGGTTGACGAGAGCCAAATTGATCGAGAAATGAGTTGCTTGAAGACAAGCTTGAATCCAGCTTTTCTTCAGCGTACAGGAGCTCCTGTATACTTGTACCTTAGTCCTCAAACGAGTGTACAAGCACTTTCTTTTGCAAACGGAATACCGCCATTTGATCAGTTGCTGCTTCCTCCTCCTCCTGTCTTACTACGTTTATTCGACATCGACATCGAGAAGGGCGGCGAAGTGACGAAGGAAATGATAGCATTGATCGTTGAGTGGAGTCCTAAAAATATCGACGCGAGGTACAGAGCTGCTTTGCAGGAGCTGGAGGGTTTGAGGAGCCAGGACAATGATAAGGAGCTCAGGAACTCAGAAACGGACGTTAATTATGCCCACGAAGCGATTTGGTACTCACTTTCCAGCAAAGAGCAGGTGGCATTCGCCACAGTGGAGGGAAGTATGGCAAAGAGCCTTGAGTGGGACACAAAGCCTCGGCTTCTTGCAGCTGTTGGTTTTACCCTAGGTGGCACTGAGACTTCCACAAAGCAGCCTATCCTTGCAGGAAAGAAGGCAGCCTCTGCAAGTGAATCAAAGGGAAAAGAAATGAGACGAGAAGCTAGCACACAACTGGCTCACTGGCCAGTGCTTGCTCTTGACAACCCCGCTACTGTTGAAGTTTCTAAGTGCAAGCTTTTGAGATACCACTTTGATATCGACATCCTTGGCGTTCGGTTTCTTCCAACGTCGCAAGCCGATCAGCTTTCAGAATATATCCTCCAGGTGTCTGCGTTTTGGCAAGGGAAGGCAAAGGATTTGCAATTGGCCCTGAGCTCTTCAGACTTTCCGGCTCCAAATGTGATTGCGAGGTTCAGCGAGACCGAACCTGTAAGAAGATTAGCAGACACGCTCATTCTAGTTCTAAAACAGTTTTGTTTCCCTTGAATGGATCGCTGCAGCCAGACCTGCTGGTGTTGTTGTTTTCCAGGAGACGAAGCGGAAAGTGTTTGTCGAGGTATTCGATGCAAAAGAAGAAAAACTGTCTCGGCAAGTTTTGTTGCCAATACGCCGCAACATTGGTGGGCTGCAGTCTGCACTGAAATAACATTGCCATGGGCATCCATCTCTGATTATTTAATGCGGGAGTGCGACGTCTGTGTCGCGCCCGCGGTGCTCACCTAAGCAATGCTTTTGACTGTCTGGGTTACATATTTTGGGCGTTGTACTCTTCATACCGCATAAACGTCTCTGTCATCCACAAGTAAGCACTGCACATTTCAACACCAGGCGGCAGACTGGCTTTTGACCTTTTTTTACAGTGCCGCTATTTGCTCTCAGAGTCAAGCACTGCCCCCGGCCAGTGGGTTGGAGCACGATTGTCCATCAGCTCCTTCGTCACGCCGTATCTGCCCTATATTCAAGATGTAGTATCGCATACATCACATCCCGCAGAAAGGGGGCGAAGGTTGGCGCCTACAAAGTCAGGGGGTGGAAAGGATTGGAAGTCTATTGGCTCACAAGGAACATTCTGCACCCGGAAAGATTCTGAAGGCTCTTACCGCAGCAGGGGCAGCGTGCGCATAATGCAGAATCGAGGAGTGAAGGCAATTTTACCTGACATTTGCTTCCGCTTAGTGAACAAAGACGGAGCTGAGATGGGCACATTGTCCCTGGCACTGAACTCGTTCGTAAAAGTACCGCAGGGAGAGAACTGCCTCAAGCTTCAGCTTGAGAGTCCGCTGCTGGCCCGACTTCCTCCCCCGATGGTGGACATGGCAATGATGGTGAGAGACTCAAAGGACTGAGCACTATCAGCACGAGCAGCGCCATGCCCTGAGTCTCCCAGTGCCACAAATGTTCATATAAGCAAAGGGCGCAAATGCAGTTCATATGAAGGAGGCTAGTGGTGAACGACACCAGTGCAGTGCAGAATGGCTATTAAAAGTGCGTGAGAGTAACGAAATTGGCAGGGCTCCAGAATTACACACAAGCCGATTCTTGAACTGAGGAAATCTTTCAGCATGGTTGGATTTGATGCGGTCTGTCAACTCAGGAACAGCGGATCATGCCAGACTTGCCTTTTGTGAATACTGTTGATATAGACATCATCGTCGAGTGTTTCAGCGAATACACTGGTGAATTGATATACGACTCCGACTGTCGACCAGGTCGGATGCTGACTGATCATGATATGTTTTTTGTACGTGACAAAGCGGGAGTTGTCTACACGCACGTCTTAAACGCTGATGACTACTTCGTTGGGTGTGAAGATAAAGAAGATGTCCCGTTTGTGGAGCCTGTCATGAAAGTGAGAGACAAGCCTATCAAAAAGCACTCCGTATTCGTTATAACCAGTAGCAGAACCACCTTCAGACCCTATTGAGCAAACACAAAACCTAAATAATAGTTTCCGGTTACCTTTTTTCTGCTCCGAAGCCGCGTCATGTCCTGTTGTGCTTTTTCCTTCCCCTGCAGGCCGACTTGTCTGATTCGGGCCCAAACTCTATGGAGTACGCCCAGTTTTTTGAAGAAACCCGTCGTTGCAGCAACGAGAGAAAGGATACCCTGCAGCTGGGCAACAACAAAAGGCTCATGCAGCAACCAAAAACATTTTTGCCAGAGGATGAAGGAGAGGAAGCGCCAAAGCAAAAATATGACTCCAAAGCAAGAGGTAGTGAGTTCAAGCCCTGAACCTTCAAAAAATTGCCTGAGATTGCATTTCAAGCCTTCTGGTCGGAGAAGCATTACCCAATTTGTACAGGTCGACCGGAGTGCAGCCCAGCAAACACTGTACTAGTGATTTACACCTGCAGCCTATTTTACTCTCGCAGATCGTGAGGAAAACCGAGTCCGTCATGCAACACGCACTTGGGTCCGCAAACGAGGTCATGAAGCCTCACTTGATGAAGAGAAGTAGGCCACCACCCCTTCAGCGTTCCAGTTGACTATTTTTTGATATTAGCCACATTGCACTGGATGCCGATCTCACGTGCCTTCTGCGGGCACACTTTCAAGCTCTGCCGGTGAACAGGCTCTTCGTGCATAGTCTTGGTCCCTAATTAAACACTGACGAGAGTGTTTGTGTGTGCTTACCATTCCTTAGTTCTTGTTTGTTGGCTCGACTGATGCTGATGCGTTCGGATTATGGCGGGTCCCTGGAATCTCATAGAGAAACAGTTACAGCAGCCAACAAGGATCTTCCAAGAACTCTACTGCCAACTTTTAACATGGTCAATATTTTCACAAGAAGAGAAGGCAAGCTGCGCAACGTGTTAGAGGTTTCCTTATGGTGTAGCCCTCTCCTCATGCTAGCTGAGAAAATATCCGTCTACCTCAACTGATACTCATCTTCTAACCATCAAGTTCACGGCGAGCCTTTGCTTACCCTGAAGAGGCCTGGAATGAATCTACGCGCGGCTCTGGAAGAGGCTTATCGGCTTCAGCACATTCCAACACTTTTATGCTTGCCATATTTCGCATTCGTGTGTACAGTTTTGTCGTTTGCCTTCAGGAGTGGTTGTCTGGTCTGCATCGGCCAGTGGATGTGACGGTCACTTTGGTAGGACAGGTGATTTGCTCCTCATCTTCAGAACAACAGCAGACAAACAATACCACCGCGTGTGTGTCCCAAGCCTTGATATACGGTTAGTGTGGGAAGCCTTCTTTTTCCTCAAGGGAATCCTGCTCTGAAATCATTTTCGCGACAAAAGTGACAATAGCAAAGCATTGTTCAGGTCAACTGAATACCCGTTTCCAGAAGTGATGATGCTTTTCTTCTCAGATATCCCCACGAGAATTCCTTCTACATCTATGATACAATCACACAGAGTTTCACAGATTTCTACAAAATGTGAGCTTCCGTTTGTTCGCCCAGTTTTAAGGCCAACAGTGAGCCGCGGCTATTTTGTTTGTTCGTACTGAATAACTAGAACGAATTATTCCTGCCATAGCATGCGCTCTGACCCACTCCGTCCCTTTTTCCGAATGTGAAACTGCTTAGGTGTGTTGAGCAAAAGCTTCAACGGCTTAAAATGCAATTGAGAGGGCGACAAAAAGAAGATCTGGCAAGTAATAGACTCAAAACTGAGTACCTAAAGTCACGCTTATTTTCTTGTATCTTTCAAACGCCATTCAGTGAATGCCATCAGTATACTGCGTGAATATGTTAGGTGGGACAAGCAGAGCGACAGCAGTTGGAAGTGGAGATTCTCGAGCAGGAGTCCGAGCTGGCAAAGCTTCGAGAAGCCGTAAGATTGTAGCATTGAGCAGAATTCGTGCCACTTACATCGGTAGTTACTTGCAGATTCAGATACAGCAAAATTCTAGCGTGGCACTTCGTAGACCACAGCCACAACATCATGAGTTATGTGGAAATTGTGGGCGCTGCAGGGGGGTGGTTACAGAAAGTGTTTCTATGAGGACTCAAAGGCAGGCTTTAGCTACTCCATTGACGTGCAGCGTGGAGAATTAGTGTGTCGGTTGAAAAAGACTTGCACCTACTTCGACCGTGACCAAACCGTGTTATGGTTTGACAGCTTTTCAATGTTGCCGACGCTCAACTTGGCGCACCCTGTGGTTTGGGGAGAAGACAAGAAGAAAATTGCCCTGCTGAAAGTAAGAATGCCCATAGCGCGCGTGTTTGTAGAGCATCGTAGTGACACTGTGGGGCTCAAGTGCTCCTAGGACGGGTCGGCGGCAATGCACAATTTCTGTGTAAGTTTGCGATGCTTTAAGGGGTGGGTGAGAGTGACGGATGTTACAGCGACAAACAAGGCCTTGACAGACAAGGCCGATGACGGGGCAGCGAAGGGACCCTCTCAAGCAGTATCTGAGACAAAGGCACTCGCGCAGCGTCAACAGCTGCCGGGAAACAAGCAGACCTCCAGCAACTCGGCCGACACAAGCTCTCTCGCGACTTCTGGCTATGCTCCTCCCGATGTGCTTATAGCACCACCTATGCACCGCTGGATGGAAGAAGTTGTTGTAGTGCATGTTTACATTTTAACTGCGCGAAACCTTCAAAATGTGGACACCATAGGCATGAGCGATCCGTATCTAAAGCTCCAAGTGGGGCAGCAGATTACAGTCTCCGACCGGGTATTTGATGGGTAGGTTGTCGGCGGAATTAGCTCAATGCCTGGATGTTAATCTTACGCCAACAATAGCAAAAGCTGCTCAACAACACAATGCTGTGGCTCACATGAAGAGTACTAACGCGTTGCTCTTGATGTTAGTCAGCCGTCCTTTTTATGCAGGGTTCAAGTTTGACTGAACATTGTTGCAGTGGGATGGGGCACAAATACGTGTATATATATGGATGTTGGCAGACGTTGCGCTTCCTATTCATGCTGTACATTGCTGCAGCTTGCGGCAGCTAGCCAATATGTTGTGGAAAAAACTGGGCGTAGAGAGTGCTTCATTCCGCTTGCAGCAACTGTAATCCGAACTTCTACGAGCACTTTGTATTTCAACTGCTGATTCCGGGGCCTGCCCTCCTAAAAATTGTTGTCATGGATAAGGGTGATGTGCTGCAAAGCGACTCGCCATTAGGCATGGTTTCTGTTGACCTGGAAGAAAGGTACGCCGCCTTTTTAGGTTCCCAATTGTTACTCTGCAGCCATGCCTACTACGATTTATTAATGCATGCTCACTTAGCTAAGCCAGCATTATTTGTTTGCGCGCAGCTTATTTGTTCGTGTTTAGGAAGGCTCCAACCTTTTGACTAGGCATAGTCAGTGGCACTGAATCTGGCTGCTACTTGCAACTCTCCGCTGATTCTCTGTCCCGTACATTCGCAGGTGGCTGGCTCTCAAGGCGTCGCGTATAAATAAGTATCAGAAAACCTGGTAAATCACATGTTCGCTGACGAATGCTCATCGGCAGCACCAGCCGCACCATAGGTTTGAGGGCAAGGCTCTCAACCACGTACGTGTTCAATGCGTTACCTTTGTCTGACAACTGCAGCCCAGTTGTAGGACCGGGGAAGAAAGCTTATGTTCCGCCACTGCATTACTTCCCTATTGAGTATCAACCCCTTCAAACAGGGGAAAACGAAGGGGAGCTTGGTGTTTCTCAGGGGACCCTTCGATACTTTATCGATATGGTAGGCGCAGTAGACATATCAAGCACCTTTCCCTTGTTCTTGTCAATTCTTGAAACTCACGGTTCTGCATGTCAAATTCGGCAGCAGTAGGGCTTTTTGTTGAAACGGCTTTTGCCTTGTGTGTATCAGGTTGGTGAACAAGATCCATATGAAGAAATCTACATCTCGAATTTGGGACAAGAAGAAGAATTCGAGCTTCGTTTTATCATTTGGAATGTGGAAAACATAAACGTCTTCAAGGGTTCTTCAGGTGAGCCGGAACTATGATCAGAGTGGAGCGAACATTGCAGCCAATAGAAGCAGTTAGTTTGTTGACACTTTCCATGTGTTTTTCTACGTTTTATTATTTACACTGAACAGGTTGCCACTGCTTCCTATCATTTCTTCGTCTCTTGCAGGGGAACGCAACGATCTCAAAGTTCGCGTGGAGCTCTTCACGACAGATTTTGAGTTGGAGGATTCATACGACTGCTTTGACACAGACGTGCACTTCTTCTCCCGACGCACTGCCACTTTCAACTGGCGCATATTGAAACGCGTTAAGCTACCACTGGCAGCTATGAGCGCAAAGGTTAGAACTGAAAATGTAATGTAGCAAGAATGCTTACAATACGTAGCACTGATAAATGTGCTATGGAAGAAGGCAACGGACTACGAGTATCCGCGGGAGATTCTGTGTCAATTTTTCCATTAGGTGCCTCGTTCTGCGTGCGAGGTTCCTCTTTAGCGAATACACAGCGACAGTCATGTTACCCACTTTTGGCAACACTGTGATCGTGTGCACTTTAGCTATGCACAACTACTGCGTATGCTGCCGAGCACTGATATTTTCAGCTTACTCTGATCGATATTAACGCTCCTGCAACTGACAATGCTCTTTACAACTCCGAGACTCTCAGCCTCGATGCATTTGCCCTCTCGGCAATGACTCGCTTCCGCCAAGACCAAGGGCCCATCAGCCCGATTGACTTCGATGTTACATTTGCTGACCCTCTGGGAGCCGGAATGTGAGTGCAGGCCAATGTTAGCTTCTTGCTGTACCAGATGCCTCTCCTTACAGCTTTATGCTGAAGCGATCATTTCTCCTCACTGAAGTGGAGCATTGCAGCGCTGAATTGCACTGTGTCTGCCTTCAGGGTCGAGCGTTGGTGCCAGGCATTTTGGTGTGCCCCATACGAAGCCATGGGTTGCCCTGCTTCCGTGACGGGTTGCTGCAACCGCCGAGAAGTGAAAGAAAACTTCCTTGACCAGACAGATGATTCCGTCGCTCTCTGCTGCTGTCTAGGAATTTGCTGCTGCGGCAGACAGGCCAAACGCCGCCGCATGCGAACGTGGGCTGAACTATCACATAACAAGACAACCCCAAAGTTACCCTGGGATTGACGCGAGTTCCACCATTCCTGCCGAAGGCTGGCTACAGCGTGTACTTGACAACGATTGGCGGTAGCTTGCCTATCTGCCGCATTCGCTGTGAAGCTTCGCCCTGAAAAACATTCTTGTGCAATGCGCGTGCTGCTACATCAGGCTTGTGTCCGGCTCTGCTACTCTTCACTGCACAGTTGCTTTAGTTCCCAAGGGCGAAGCAGAGGCTCATCCGGTTGGCGCTGGCCGCGCTGCCCCCGAGCCCCTGGCAGAACCGGCGGACCGCCCCTCTCCCAACATGATTTTATCTGTGAGAGGGACCGCGTTTTCTGCCTGCATCACCATGTTGTCCAGCAGCCTGTGAACGTGCCAGGATTCATGGCTTGTGGATGAAATCTCAAAAGCATTCCGTTGCTTCTGTACGAGCCTGTCTGCAGGACCCCGTGGGTTACCTAACACTGGTGATAGGGAATCAGACCTGTGCACTTATTCAGTGAGTCAGGAAGCAATGTTTCCCACTGGATCCACAGGCTCACGTTCATTTGGCTTCGCTGTACGCGTAAACATGTAGCACCGAACTGCTGTGCACCTGCTAATACGTGTATTAGCTGTACATTCATCCTATGCTGTGCTGCTTAGGGCAACTTCGATGGGGTGCTGCATGCTGACGATACTGCTTCTTATGGTCCTCATCGCCGCGATCATAATCATTGCAATCCGCGTCTAGTTTAACTGCTGCGAAGTTCGGCAGCAACGTTGCCGCTGTGCACGCACAAAATAGCCGTATACTTTTCTCAGTGACCACCAACTACGAGTGTTTAAATTTATACTGTATATGAACGCAAGCCAGTCTATACTGTTTGCAAGCAAGTAAGCCCTTGGCTAGTCCCTCAGCATTACCTGCAGGCTCTCTGCCGTTGGGCTCACCTGCCTGCATCCTCCCAAGCAGCAGCATTACTTCAATTGGAACAGTATCTAACCAACGCAAAACGGTAGCCTCACTACTCCTTAAGCACTACAGTTCAAGAGCGACAGCAGCCTAGCACGCATCCCTCATCAGACAAAATGGTTCAAAGCGGAGCTGTCACTGCCGACACCCCTCCCGCTTATGTGACGGCGAGCACCGCCAAGACGCTAGGACCTGTTAAGCACAGGCCGCCATGCAATAGATGCTCCCTGGGTAAATCAGTACGACAGAGGCTCATCTCCTGCTAAGAAAGGTAATCTGGAGTCCACTATCTAAGAACCACGCTGGAATGAAAGAACAGATCGTTTCACCACTACAAACTAAGGCATTCTGGTGTTGCAAATGAGGCGGAACACGTATGCATAGAGTTTTCTGCTCATCAATTCCCGCGGCGCAACTGCTAATCTACGCTCCTGTCATCACGCCAGCCTAAATGACCAGTTCAAGCTCATGACGGGCAAATGAATGCTTCCCGTCGTCGGGAAGTCTTGGGAAAAAAGCTACCATTGCGTCCTGGTGCCCGATGTACACGTTGTTGTACACCCTCCAATACACCTCTCGTACCTGCATGAAAACAGCACAACGGCAATAAAAATGAATTCTTACTACGGGCGCTCCCATGGTGACCCCTTGTTTGCACCATGCAAGCACTACTGTGCGGACCAGCAGATGAACTGTCACGCCGACTGTATCGACACAGGGAAACTCGGGCCTTGCAATAGATGCTGAAACAGCGCGAGTAAAAGGGGATGGCGTTGGAGAGAATAAGTAACTTACTTTGCGTGCAGGGTGGAAGAGACCCAAGATGACATATCGGAAAACAACTCCGGGCCCGATAGCAACGCGCATGCCGTCCACAGCATCAAAAAACGCCTGCAAGCCGCATAAAAGAACGTATAGAGAAGTGTTATAAAAAAGCCGCCAGAGGAGTGCTAATGCTTGCATAGCGCGCTGTACTGAAAAGTATCAACGAAGCGCGCTAGGCACTTTCCGATATGCAACAGTGGCTACACTGGCCACCTGCACATGCAACACAAACCCCTTTCAGCCAAATGACGAACTAACTAACTGTAACTTACTTGGACCATGTGTGCCGACACTTCGAAAATGTTTGGCCAGACGTAGTTAAACAAATGAGTAAGCGCATCTTCACAGCTCAGTCCGTGGACGCCTATATAATCCACAAACACCGGAAAAGTTTGCAACTTTGTTGCAACATGTTGCTCCACCGAACGCCACCAAAAGTATGAAGTACTGAATGCAGGTCACTGCAATTCTACCCTGTTACCTGGTCCCTTTGCCCGCTGCTGAATACAGTGGAACAGTGTCTTTTGCTAACGAATGCCTGAGCAGAACGAATTTAGGCTCACCAAGGGCAAGGTGCTTGCAAGCCCAAGCTGCAGTTTGTCTGTGGACAAGGTCTCTGTCCATGAGGGCATCTTCTAACAACGGCGTAACTGTATAGATGTAGTCCTTGGCCATCTCGCCAATGTACTCAAACATGAAGCTAAGAGTCTTCAACACACCGTTTTGAATGTTCAGTTCAGGCACTCGGTATTCGTTGATGAGCGCAGGCAGCACAGAATATGGCAAGCAGGTCTCAGCCACGATAGCAATGGCGATGGTCGTGCACAGTCGCAACTGACGTTCTTGCATCTTCAAATTGTTCAGGAGTGTTGCCAACACATCTTGCGGCCCTATGGTCCTCGCAATGTAGCCAAATGTGTTCACAGTGGCTCTACGAATGCTCTTTTTCTGGGCCCTCAGCAAGTCCAAAAGGTCAAAGCAAATCCTATCCCATTCCTTGGGCGACACCAAGTCGCCTCCGCGGTCGGCGATACGGCCGATGAGATCAATAAGATTCTCCTGCACTTTTTCGTGGCGGTTTTTAAGAATAGGAGTTAAACGTGGCAGCAGATCCTTGATAGGTGGCGTCATCTTGTTCATTCCAATCACGTTCACGATGGCTTTCAACGCGCACAAAATGCTTCCCAACACATCAGGGTACTCTTCACCCAAGTACTCGTACAAGAACAAGCCCAAGTGCCCTAACATTTGCTCTTCCCCACTCTTGAACATGACAGTTGCAATGCGCGCCACGAGGTCTGCCGCTTGCTGCCTCAGCTTCGCTGAAGGGGTGTTCAACCGCCAGCGAATGACACCACAAATCTGGGGGAGGTACGGCTTCACGCGGGTCGAGAGTGCATTTACGATGGTTGAAAAGCCGTTTAGAAGCACTTGCGTGTCCTCAGTTGTCTGTTCTTGGAACGCATAAAGCAAGCCATCAATGAGCTGCTCCTCCAGCCTTCCGTCAATGTCCGCCACACCGCCGTTCACAATTACCTGTTCTATGGTTTCAAGCGTCACCTTCCTGAAGGGCTCGCTCGGGTCCTTCAGATCATCTACGATAAACTTGATGACGTGCGCTCCGCCAGCCTTGGAAGCCAACTCCGTCGCAGTTTCGGTGAGCAGTTTGGCCGTGCGGCGGTCAAGGGCGTTTCTGACGAGCCACATTTTTGAAAAGAAAGGAGGAATGATATCTGTGCGGATGTATTCACCCTCCACACCTTCCGTGGCTACGCATTGTTTGACCACTCGCAAAACGATCTTTTTCATCTCTTCATCGTTTGTTTCAAATTCGCGCACAAGCATCACCATGACTTCCCGAGTATAGTAGCTCGCGTGGTAGGCGTCCATAAGTGGAATGATGGAGCCAATGGCTTTCAAGTAAGCCGCCAAGCTCTTCCCCTTTATTTCACCAATACCCTTCCACAAAGGACGCAGCACGCAATCGAAGGCTTCAATGCCATACGGCGCTGCTGCCTCAGCCAGTGCGGCCAGAGCCAGTGCAGTGACTGTCTTGATCTTCAGTACGGGATCGTCGAGCCCATGTTGGATGATTTCAACGAACTGCCGCAAATGAGGCAATACGCCGCACCCCAGCAGAATGGCTATCTGCTGAATTATTTTTATACCTGTGTGGCGTGCCTGCCACGACTTCTTGCTCTGGCACACGGCCTTCAAGAACAGCAGCAACGAAGGCACACCCAACGCAGAGGCCACCACAGCAAATGCCCTGAAGAACAAAAAAACAAACACTTCAATCCCCGCATGCACAATGCTTACTACAGGTGATGCCCACACCAGATGGGCTGATGCAATACAGGCTAGAGGGAATTCGAAAGATGCATAAATCATATTCAAGTTCGCGCTGCAGCAGCAGCACTGTCAACGCGGGACTAGTCTAGTCAAGCCAGAGACTTCAACGGAAAACGCGAGATTTCGCAACTCCGTTTTTATAAGCCGCCACCGAAGTGCATTTGCCAAAGCCCTCTACCTGGCGGTGGTGTTCCGCACGTATTCGTCGGGATGGTCAATATCTGGCCTCATGGTGGCGATCATCGTCGCCAGGCCTGCGGCCTTGGCCAAGTTGCTGATGATTTCTCTGCCCTCTATGCGGGCGTAGTAATCCTCGTCAATCAGAAGAGGCTCTATGACCACCAGGATCTTGTGGGCATACGGCCGCACCAGGTCGTCCAGCTTGTACAGCACGCGATCTATGACTTTCACGAGTAAGTGGCGCTCCTGCAGTGCACAACCCCTCACAATTTTGCAGAAAAAGTGAGAATAAGTGTCGGATTTCATCGAAACGTGGGCAGCAACCGCATGCCTGCAGCTGCAGCTGCACATACACCCCAACTTGCACCGCGCCCACCTGGTCCTCCAGCGTCGTCTGCATCATCAGAGGCAAAATTTGGTTGAAAAGTGCAGCAGCTCCGAACTCTTTTGCTTTGTCAGTCAGAATGCGCAGCGCAGAACGGCGCAGCGGGGGAGTTCCGTTCTTGATTTTGAGCAGCAGCAGCTGGATCTTCTTTTCCTTCACTTCCTATCAACACAGAAAGCAGCCCGCAGCAGCTCCGATCACCCCGCTAGCTTGCAATAAATTCAAAAGAAGACAAAATCTGCACAATTCAACTTCGAACCCCCCGCTTCCCCTCCCGAATCCCCGAATCCAGCAGCAAGCCCTCCGCAAGAGTCACCTCCTGGGTCATTTGGTCTTCCGGCTTTTCTTCGAAGAGTTTGGAAAAGAAGTGGAAGTCCTCAGCCTTCATTTGCACCCCCCCAGAAGCCTCGCCGAGCCCCTGCGGGTCCAGCAGCGAACCCGTGGGGTCCAACGCCTTCACCGAAATGCCCCCCTCCTCAGGCATGACGTACATGGGAGTGACCCCGAGGGGAGTGGCAGCAGCAGCAACTCCGGGGGTGGCGGGGCCCATGCCCGAGGAGGCCAGGGCCTGCTGCCGCGCGCGTGCTGCAGCAACAGCAGCAGAAGTTGGCGGCGGGTTGTAGTCGCTCGGCGGCTGCACCACTTCGTAGCCCTCGCTCGGCATTATCCTGTCGAGTTCTTCGTCGGTCAAGTATCTGTTTCTCTCGTCGAACTCCTGCTGCAGCCGCAGCGCCAGCAGCTGCTCCGGGGTCTGCAGAGGAGTGCTCGGAGTCATCGGCGTGGACCCCAGGCCTGCACAGACGCACCTCCACAGCCCCACCCTGCTGCAGCAGCAGCAGCAGCAGCGGCAGCAGCAGCGGCAGGCGGCGACGCCTGCAGCGCGCAGGCAGCAGCAGCGGCAGAGCCGCGCCGCCTTCCCTGCGGCCCGCAGGCACCAGCAGCGCCAGCCCGCCCCGCTCGCTGCCCGCAGGCAGCAGCCGCGGCGCCGCGGCTGCAGCCCGCAGACAGCAGCAGCAGCAGCAGCAGCAGCAGCAACGCGCACCCGTCATGGCCAGCGGCGTGGCCCCAGGGGTCAAGCCCGAAGTCATGGGGGTGGCCCCCGGAGTCTGGGAAAGGCCGGGGGTGGCGAGGCCGGCGTCGGAGCCGTCGGCCAGGCGGGCCCCCGTGAGCGGAGTGGCCATGGCCGACCCCACCCCCGATCCCTCTTCTCCTCCAGGCACTGGAGTTGCGTCCCAACGGCTTTTCTTTTTCATTGCCAACGGCGTCTGGCCTCCAGGCCCCGCCACGAGCGGCGTCGCTCCCCACTGGCCCGGCGTCGGCGTTTCCTGCGGTGTACGTACACCCCACCGCCGGCGCAGCGGCGTGCAGCTTTTGCGCCGATCTGCAGAGGCCGAGTGCTCTCGCGCTCGGATTCAAGTTTAAAATTGTGAAAAAGTTGAATTTGGAGAATTTCGGGAGAAAAGGAAACAAAAAGTGCAAAAGTTGCCCGGAAAGCTGCACGAAACCTGCAGTGTACGTACCTGGCCAGTGCCGGGCTGCGCCGGGGTGGCGTCCCATCTGCTTCTCTTTTTGGGTTTTTGTTCTGCTGCTTCTGCTGCTGGTTCTCCGCCGGAGGCCATGGGAGTGTCGCCCCAGCCGGGGGCCTGGCCGCCGGCCTGGAGGGGAGTGTCCCAGCGGCTGGTGAGGCTGGCCGCTGCAGCAGCAGCCCCCTCGCTGCCCTGCTGCTGCTGCTGCTGCTGCAGGGCCAGGCGTTCGGCGTCGGTGAGCTGCCTGTCCCCGGCCCAGCGGCCGCGCTTGCCTGCTGCGGCGGCGCCGGCGGCCTCCTCCTGCTGCCGCTGCTGCAGCAGCTGCTGCGCGAAGGCCGCGTCTTCCTGCAGCTTCCGAATCTGCTTGACAGCAGCTTGCTTCTCCCTGTCGAGCTGCTGCTCCACCATGACGTCTGCGTAGCTGCGGGCGCTCACGTCCCCCCTGCGGCCCCCGTCTGCAGCAAAAGGGTCTTGTCTTTCGGGAGAAAGGGCCCGCTGGAAGCGCTGCCTGCGGTACAAGTCCTCGCGCGTGGCGATGGCCTTCTTCTCGAGCAGCGCTGCAGCGTCGCTCGCGTCCGCCCCCGAAGAAGACAGCATCGCTCGCCGCTCGCTCTCCACCAGCCGCGCCACAGAGTCCACCCCTCTGCGCTGCTGCTGCGCCTCTTCCCCGAAAACGCCCCCCAGCGGCGTCGGCTGTTCATCTTCTGCGGGGATCTCCGAGAGGTACTGGTGCACGGGCGTTTCGCCGTAGAGGTGCGAGTCGAAGGCTCCCTTCGAGGTCAGCGGGGCCTGGCTGCCCGTGTTGCTGCTGCTGCTGCTGCTGCTGCTGCTGCTGCGGCTGGC